GGGCAGGGAGGAGAAGAGTCCAAACTTGCTTTAAAAAATAATTGACAAGAAAACAGAGAGGAACTTGAGGACAGATGAGTGAGTTTGATTCATTCTGTGGTTTCAGGGAATGCTTCCAGAAGAGTTAACACTTAAAAGTGGAAGGTTTCAGAAACCCAGGAAGCTTCCCCCATTACCTATCTGTTTACAAAGAGTATAACCCAGATGGCGGGCTCCATTCAGTAGCAGCTTGAGAACAGTGTCTCGAGTCCCAGGGTCCCCCCGAGAGAGCTGCAGTAACACATTGGCTGCATCTTCTAGTCCTTCTTCAGAACAAGAGTGGGAGGTTAACACCTGTGGAAAATAAGGGAAGAAGAGATTAAAGCCCAACTTGAGAACTAAAACATTATCCCCCACTTAAAATCTTTACACCCAACCCCAGGACAGAAGAATTTGGCCTCACCTCCACTGAGAGTTGTAGTTGGTTTTCAGTTAGACCAGAAGATACCATCTTAAAGTCTGTATTGCTGCCATCACCAACCTTTGCTGGAGATTTGCTGCCCTTAGTAGTTGTAGAAGCTTTGAGGAAACAAGACAGAGCATTAGAAACTTCTAAAAAATCACAAGCCTGAGACTTATAGGGCAGAACCATGGAGTTTTAAAAAACTCAAGTATTTAAAAATTGAAAATAATGGGGGGGAAAGATCCACTCACCACAGACAAATAAATTAAAATACCAAGGGTTCGTATGATTTTGCTTAAGGTGACTTAAGAACTCTAGACTTATTTTGCAACCACTATTCCCCATACTTTCTTCAGAATCACCTCCAATTAATTCTTCCTTACCTGATGCAGATTTCCCCCTTCCTACTCTCTTCTACCCCGATTCAGTGTGTTCTGTTTTTGAAATGACTCCATCAAAAAGAGAAAGTTCCTTGAAGATGTGAACTTTTTTTCCACCCTCCTTTTAGTGCATAGCCTAAGGAAACCACACTGTAAGAATGACCACTGTTCTTCACAGGTACGTATTGAGTGTGAAGGGAGGTGAAAATAGGGGTGGTGGTTGGGGGCTAAAGAAAGAAGAGAACTCTTGGGGCTGACGAAAGTGAGAATAAATACATTCTGCTTTCACAAACACAAATTAAACCAGTCACTATCATTTAGGGAATACCTGGATGGGGGTGTGTAGAAATCACAATCCACACTTACTTGAAACAGTAGTGGTAGCAGTTGTAGGAGTAGTCACTGTGGTTGAAGCAGCTATGGCAATGGTGGAAATAACCGCGGCAGCAACCAGACCTGGAGCAGAAGTTGCAGGGGTGGTTGTAGCCGAGGGAATAGGTGTGGTGGCAACAGTAGCAGTGGTAGTAGATGTGGTTGTGGTGACAGCAACAGTAGAGGAAGTGCTGCTGGCAGAAGTAATCTGTGCTTCTGACATTTTGTTTTCTGGGAGAGCAATTGAGATGAGAGAGAGGAGTCTCAGGAGTTTCTCAGTTAATAGAGAACTCCGGCGGATGACTGGGTGTGACAACATGTTCATGAGCTGTCCCAGTGGGGAGGCCTCAAGGCTGTATAGGGAGGTTTCGCCCTCACCACCTGCGCTCACTGGTACTGACTTCACGGAATTCTTGCCTTTCCGGCTGACATTCATGTTGTCCAGTTTTACCAGTAAGTCCCAGAAGTCTGTGCAAATGCCACTGCTGGTGGATTGTGAAGAGCAGGGACTACAGGCCTGCTTACTACCTCTCTCCCGATCACTCTCACAATTTGTTTCTTTGGTCCGCTGCTGTGTGAAGTGGCTGGGAAACACCTGTTGGGAAAAGGTTATTATTGGTCAGGGGCCTCCATAGCAAATGAGCTTATCTGACAAGGAGAGAGAATTGGTTCCCAGTCACTCATCTCCCTTGGCAGCATAGAAAATTATGTGATATTGGAATTTAATCCAAGAAATGGCCAAGGTAGCCTAGAGCAATTGACTTGTTGGGGAACAGATTGACTTCTGCTGGCACATGGTTGGCCCTCACATTGTAGAACTATGTTCTAGGTCCAGCTCCATCACTGACTAGACACGTGACAAAACCAATATAACTTTCTGTAATCCATTTCTGCATATGGTTGCTTTAATGATTCGATTGGTAATTGTAAAGAGTGAAGATAAAAATACAAAACTAAAACCCCATAGTTATTTGTTGGACAATTACCCAGAAGCTTCTTACCTTGGCCAATTGAATGAGTGTGTCCAGAACATGTCTACAGACAACAGGAGCAGCCTGGGGGTGAATATGGACAGTAGAGCCACTGCTCGCATGTTTCTCTGTATGTTTGCGGCCACCTGAACGTTGGATCTGGAATATATTAGTCCTGCAACCTAAGGCTGCATCCATGGATACTGAAAGCCAAGAGAGTTGGTTGGAACTCTTAGACTCCATCTTGTGTAGCAGGTCCAAGGGCCGGTTTTCATGGCTGCTTGACCCACAGCTCTTGCTTGACTTTTTGCCCTTTTCCTCAGCTGTGGTAAGCTTGGGTGTTTCAATGCAGAGCTCACTTTCACTGCTGCGCTGCAAGATGGACAGTAAGCTGCGAATGACCCAGTGGCGGGTCTGGGCATGGTAGCAGAGATTTCGCAGCACACGGTGTAACCGACTTGTATTGAGCTTTGGTTCATCTACAAAAAGTAGGACCAGGAGACAAGATAGGGCTTCATGGTCCAGGAGGAGTCGGCCTCGGAGGCGGAGAAGTGTATCCACATTACTTCCAGAAGGCCTGGAAATAAAACATAGTCTTTGGGTAACATTTCAGTTATTCTAGAGTTAGGGATTGGAAACTGAGTTGGACTAACCTATTTTAAAGCAAGTAACACACTTTCCCAAAACATTTTAACCCCTACATGCATTAGTTTCCTTTGTGCTAATTGTTCATGTCTGTACTGACCTCAAAACAACCAATAAAATGACAGCTATTTACATGGTTGTGTTGTATGCAGCGAGTGGGGTAGGATCTCCAAGGTGGCCTGAAATGGGAAGGGGATCCAGTATACGCTCTCATAATACTAACAGTAGGGGAGGAGATGAGCCAGTCAGGGTGCGATGTAACAATGATGAGAAATACAACTTTCCTCTAGTTCCTAAAGGTTTCCTCCCCGATCCCACTACCATGACTCGAATTCGATCTTGCAAGTCTGGCTAGACCAGAGGAGGTACACTGGTACAGATAGGAACTGAAAATACAGGGAATCCAGGGCGGATGAGCCCTATAGGACCAGTGGTATGAGTGGAAACAGGGAGGGTAAAGGGAGAATGGGTAGGAAAGAGGGAACCGATTACATGGAACTGTGAGTGACCTCCTCCCTGGGGGACAGACAACCGGAAAGTGGGTGAAGGGAGACGTCGGACAGGGCAAGATATGACAAAATACCCATTTATAAACTATCAAGGGCTCATGCGGGAGGGGGGAGCGGGGAGGGAGGGGAAAAATGAGGACCTAATGTCGGGGGTTTAAATGGAGAGAAAATGTTTTGAGAAACAATGTACAAATGCGCTTTACACAATTGATGTGTGTATGGATTGGGATAACAGTTGTATGAGCCCCTAATAAAATGTTAAAAAAAAAATACTAACAGTAGCCCTCAATAAATGCCTACCACGTACTGGGCACTTTACAATTTCCATAGCATCTTTCTTACAAGGTTATAAAGATTACAGAACTGCCCATTTCAGAGATGATGAACATAAAAATCTCAAGCAGGTTGAGTGATGTGCCTTACACCATGAAATTAATGTGTAGAGAACAGATGCTACCCGGGTCTGTATCAGAGTACCATCAAATGGTAATATCTAACCAATTTAGGTGCTAACAATTAAATAAAAATTAGATCTACAAGAAACTGTACAGATAGTAGAGAGAGGTTTCTGTGAACCTTTTACCCAATTTCCCAATTGGTTACATTTTCCATAGCTAAAGCACACGTGAAAGTCAGAAAATTAAGAGGTCTAGCGTATGCGTATAGTTTAGTATCATTTTACTACATGTGAAGGCAATAACACTTATTTCTACCAGGGAGTAGCCATGCTTGCCTTACAGGCCAGAACTCATGGTTCCCTTTACATTTGTCATGTTGCAACCACTATACTTCCACCTCCTAGTAAATTAACACCTCTTTTCCTTTAGCCTTGTGGCCACAATACCAAAGCAAGTGGTTCATTACTTTCTATCTGTATGCAAGGTTAGAGATATGGCTGTATCTGCTACCAAATGGCCTTTGTGATTATGCTATACATTATACATTAACCCAAGAGCGTAGCTTTCTCAAGGTGGAGCCCAAAGATCTGGCTGTCACATTCTTTCCAGGAAATAACCCAGAAGTCATTCAGCCAATCAGGATTTTAGCTCCTCCAACTATATTGACATAATATGGGAAGGTGAAAAAAGACAAAGGTACCTATTATGGCTACTGCTGCCTCCCATCTGGAAAGTGCCTCCTCTCTGCACAGCAAGGCGAGTATATTGAACCCCACGGTTACCACTCAGGCGACTGGTGAAAGCTGGAAGAAAAAAACAGATTGTGAAGGGTGGCCATTAACTTTGGATTACGTAACACAAAAGGAACAATAGAGCTTATTTGAACAATAAGCTACGCATCCCAGAGCCCTCCCACTTGCCTCCCAGTGTACCCGGGCTTCGGAGGATAGCAGAGAGCGCAGAGGTGCTGCTATGCCCAAACAGACGCTCATGCATGAGTTGCCGTTGTCGGGCTTCCTGCTCTCTCCTTAGAGCTTGAGCCTCAGCTGCAATATCAGGTGGCATCACAGCCAACACACTGTCCTCCATATCCTCTAGGACGCTACGGCGCAAGTCTGAGGGTAGAGTCTGGATGAAGGTTACAGGGTCCATGGGGGTGTCTGAACTGGCACTCTGTGCCAATTCCCGTCGCTGTTGCTCCGCTCTCTGCTGTGCCAGCACCTGTGGAGCAGAATGGGTCAATGGAGGCATATCTACTTACTGTTAAGCAACCTGGCCCCACCATCATCCAGGTGACTTACTTCCTCCTGAATAGCTGGAGGCAGAGCCGCCAGGAACTCAGGGCTGACTTCAGTCACTCCTGGATTCCCTACCACTGTAGGAGCTGAGCTAGTTGTTGAGGGGGCAGTCCGGGTTGGTGGTCGGATGCCCAACTGGTTCTGTAGGACTTCCCGACGGATGTCATCAGGCAGAGCAGCCAGAAAAGAGGGGTCCACACCTTCAGGGAGACTGATACCTGTGGGGAGATAAGTGACTCATACTATACTAATGCCTAAATTATTTTCCAGGCAGAGACCCAATCTTGGAGAAATGAAACCAATGTCACATCTCAAGGGAAATTAGTGTTTGCAAAGAATACAGGACAAGAGAGGACCAAACCAGCCTTCCTGATTCTGAAAAACTCTCACTCATTATTATGCACACTGTCATGTAATCTACGTAAAGACATAATTTCCTCATGAATAATGAGGATCAGAAAAATTAATGGTCATAAAAGAAGGAAGTGGCAGAGCTGGGATCTGAGCTAAGATCAGTTTAATACCAAACCCTGGGCCCACTCCCCATCAGTCCTCATACATATGATCTTCATTCTAGATGGAACTGACAGGCAAATATTTCCATGCCCGAGGCTACTAGAGGTCTTAACAATTCCAGAATAGCTTGAACACATGTGGAACTCACCAGCAAGGGGATCTTCCTCTTCACTGCTAGTTGAAGGCAGTGGCTCTTCTAGAATTCCTCGGGAGTCTGCTCCAGAAATGGCCACAGCAGAGTCTCTGGTGGAAGAACTCTCAGAAGATGCTGGGGGAGAGCTGAAGGAAATAATTTCCATGGTATTTTTAGTATAATGATTTGTTTACTTTTAAAATACTTCTCCAATAGCCTCTTTCCCATTAGTTAAAAAGTATGAATATGACTTGGAACGCCTTCCAACATACCCCACCTTCCTCTTGCTCGCGCAAGCACCCACCCCCACCGCCACTGCCACCACCACAACCCCCACCGCCGCCGCCGCCACCACCACCACCCTTTACCTGTCCTCTGGTGCCTGGACGGGTTCCCCTGTCCCATCACCCCTGCCTTGCACTTCTGCCACAACGGCTGGGGCATCTCCAGGAGTTGTGCTGCCTGCTGTGGGCTGTTCAGAACTACCAGCTGCTGAGGTGTCACCCACAGCCTCCTCTAGGGTACAGGAAGCCAGGCTGCTGGTGTCCATGGGAGAGCCTTCGAGTTGACTGCTGACAGCTGTCAGTGCATCAGAATCTTCAGCTCTCTCTGGGGAAAGAGAGGCTAGGAAGAAGTCACAGGGAGAGGTTAGGTCTCTGCCTAGAGTAGAGGGTAGAATTAATAAAGAGTAACAGGATAGGCAAAGTTTTTGACAAAATTGTTTCTTTAGGACTCAGATCATTTTAAGGGAATTCAAAATGTCTGGGAAAATGGCGTTAAAAGATTATGGAAGCACTAATATGTCTTACTTACCTCCTTCATCTATGTTGATCTGCTGTTCTAAATCTCATTTGCCTTTTAAGGTTCAGCTTAAGCTTTTGTGTTATTGGTAAACATTTACTATGATGTATGATACCAAGCAAGCCTAGGCATCCCGGTATGGGACCATATCAGTTTTAAGATTCTATACACATAACATTTATATATGAATATTAGTTTTGGGTATCTAAATAAACAAGGTTCATAGTCATGAGACAAATGGTGCCTTCAAGGAACATGGGAGATTTACAGTTATGGGGTTGTTTTTCATTCTTGAAACTGTTGAAGGAGACCAAGATTAATGAAAAAATAAAATCAGACATCTGGATTTTAATACCAGCTCAACCACTTAATAAATGACTTTTTATTTCTCTTCTAATTTTCAGTTTAATCATGTAGATAACACTATCTACTATGGATAGCTGTTTTAAAAACATTTAAATACTAAGGCTGGCTGACAAAAAAGGAACAGCATAGTCACCTTAATAAATGGTATAGCTATTAGCATTAATACCATTGGATACTCAGATGTGGACAAAAAGGAATTTCAACTCCACCTAACAAGGCTAAAATGCAAGTTACAATTCTTGAGCTCCTACTACTTCTCCAAAGAAAATACATCTGTTCTTCCCTCCTGTTCTAACCCCTACAACTTGAAAATCTACTCACTTATAGTGGGAGCTGGGGATAACTCCATTTGAGTGGTTTCTGTTTCTCCACTTGGTCTTGTTGGGCCCAATTCCTCTGGCTCTACAGGCATCAATAGCTGTGTAGAACTCTCTCCTTCTCGAGTTGGGGACTGTAGCTCTTGAGGAATCTCTTCCAAGGCTGGTGGGGGTGGCAGCGTTGGTGGTGGTTGTGAGGGTTGTAGAGTAATAAGTGTCTCCTTAGACTCCGATGTAGCTGCATCAGTTGAAGATGGGGTTGTTGGGTAGCTTTCAGGCATAGGAGCCCCATCTTTTGCAAAAAGAGCAACAATAATAAGGCATTGAGGGGCAATAAGTAAAGACCCAGAAGAGACACTCAAACAACATGTGGACTGACAAATGTCCCAAACCCAGTCACAGATCCAGGATTGCCTGTATCAAAACTTTCTCCAAGGAATATCTCTAGGCTTGTCTAGTACACCCAGGATGAGGGACAAGGTGCACTATTAGTTTTGTCTTAACTGATGATATGAATGCAGATTGGGGACCCAAGACTCATCTGTAGGCAACTGGACATCCTCTTACAGAAGGGTGGCGGGGAGGAGACGAGCCAGTCAGGATTAAGTGTAGCAACAACTTTCCTCTAGTTCCTAAATGCTTCCTTCCCCCAAATATCATGATCCCAATTCTACCTTACAAATCTGCCTAGACCAGAGGATGTACACTGGTACAGATAGGAACTGGAAACACAGGGAAACCAGGACGGATGATCCCTTCAGGGACAGTGGTGAGAGTGGCAATACCAGGAGGTAGAAAGGAGGAACTGATTACAAGGATCTACATATAACCTCCTCCCTGGGAGATGAGCAGAGAAGTGGGTGAAAGGAGACGTCAGACAGTGTAAGATATGACAAAATAGTAATTTATAAATTATCAAGGGATCATGAGGGAGTGGGGAGTGAGGGGAAAAATGAGGAGCTAATATGAAGGGCTCAAGTAGAAAGCAAGTGCTTTGAGAATGATGGTGGCAACAAATGTACAAATGTGCTTGACACAATGGATGTATGTATGGACTATAAGAGTTGTACGCGCCCCCAATAAAGTGATTTAAAAAAATAACTGATGATATGGACTCTAAGGCTTCTGAAAATTAAATCCCTCCTGTGCCTAGGTGGAAGTGGAAAACTTCAGGGCAGACAGATGTATGTAGCAAATGTACAAAAAGGAAAAACCCTACTGATTCTTTAGTTTTCCTATTTTGAGCAAGAAAGGGCCAGAATTTCCCTCAAAACTATTAAAACACGCTCCTTTCTGTACTATTATTGAATATAGTAAATTATAAAGAATAGCAAAGTGTTTGAGTTATTGACCAAAATGATTACATGTGCCAATCAATGAAGGATACATCACTTTACAATGACAGTTGCCCCACCCTAAATATGGTCGATCCCATTCCACCTCCCTTTCCTTCCAGTACTAATTATTCAAAGGAACACCACCAACTTTTGTTTGCTGAATAAAAAACTGATAGTTAAATGTGAATGTGCCACATGCCAAGGAAAGTAGTAGGTTGTATAGTTATCTTCTAATTGGGGCCTAAAATCCCTACCCCACAACAATACAACTTACTACCTCACCTTGGCATGAGCAGAATCTTCTAGCATGAGCAGCAGGGTAAGAATGACACATGTAAAAAGGCTATTCTACTCTGTGACAGATCCTTTCAGAGAGTTTTTTACTTGGATAAAGGTATTAGGAAATCTATTCTCTGTTTCAAAAAAATATGGAATAGGTTTTCGTATAGTCATTTCCCAAAGTGCTAAAGGAAATAGGTATTAAGAATGTTCTGAAGGAAAAAAAAAGAATGTTCTGAGGAAATAGGAGGGAAGGACAGCAACACACAGAAAACCACACTGATTGGTTTTTATAATCACAATATGGCAACTGAAATTTTTAAGATGAAAGAGACCTATACAGGTCTGCCATACTGAAACACACACACACACACACACACACACACACACACACACACACACGTTCGTATCATTTAATACATTGATACAAAAGAATTAGAATGGTTATAATTACAAAATAAAATATTTTAATGAAATAAAGTCAGCTTCATGAAAAACTGATTAAAACTTCCCTAATGTATTAATTTCCATGGGTATTTGGGAACCACTTTCATCAGGTATTCTCATGGGAGGCACCAAAGGACCAATCACCTCAAAAATCTTTATGTTCAGTTTCAAAGCACAGAACAGCAGCCAGGAAAGTAAACAGGACAACCTGGTTCCATATGCCAGAATGAAACAGCATAATCAAAACAAGAATCTGTACAGATCCAGTCAGAGAGGAAGTGTACCACCGTGGGAAAGACAGTAGACTGTATAGTTATCTCCAAGATGGGTTATGACCCTACAACTATACAATCTACTACCTCATCCTACAGAGCACCAGTATTCATCTTCAGCCAAATTGGATCAGCTACATGGAAGACAAAGGAGCAAGAAGAAATCATTAATTACTTAGGAAGAAAGGGAAAAGAAATTACCTGAAAGGTTCTGTTCAGCTGAATCATTTGTCTTTGATGCAGTACACTGTAAATAGAATAGGCAGACCAATTTGAAACAAAAAAACCCCCTAAAGATAGCCACCATTTTTCATATATACCATTGAGAAGAGTTCAATGTTCTGGATAGAAAATGTTTAAGACATGTCACCAAAGGAAGATGACGGCTTTACTGTACAAATATAAAGCTAAGTTCCCTATACATATTTATATTCAAGGATGGCTTGCAGGGGTGGGGTAGATAGGGAAATTGGATACCACATTGCCAAGTAGCTAGTTGAACTACAAATATCACCACAGTACTGGGCATAAGGATATAATCTGAACATAGTGTGAATACCATCCAGAATTTCTTAAAGTCTTATCAATATATGAGCTTTAAGAAATTCATGGAAAAACAATTAAAATATGAGTCTTTCCTTATACTCTTTGAAGCCCACTCATATACCAGAGTGAGTAAATATTGCTAGTAAGATTTCATCATTCACTGCTATTGATTTGATCCTAACTTCTAACCCAGAGAACAGGTTAGAAAAACCTTAGTTGCATCAGGGTACCTTCAAAACAAAATCAAAATAGTGGTTTCTGATGAGATCTGCTGGGGCACACAAACTCAAGGCAGTGAGGTCAGTTTGGGTTATAGTAACTGTTTTTTGAGATTCCAAATGGGTAATCATAACAGATTTCTGCAAAGGACACAGGGAGAATTAAGAAAATGAACACTGCGCTGATGAAAAAAAGACCAGAAAAGTTGTGTTGATGAATTTTTTTCATCATGATAATGCAATTGCTCACCCCTTTCAGGGTAGCAAGGGCTATTCTAAGAGAATCTCATTGGAAAACCTTATACCATATACCCTATAGCCTGATCTTGATTCTTCAGGTCTCTCGGTTCCCAAAATTGAAAGACCATTTAAACAAACTTAATTCAAGTAACCCCAAGAATCCAAAATTACTTTTGATGTAGTATAAATTGCAAAGTCCAGAATTCTGTGGGAGTAGGGTTAGAGATGGAAGCATTGCCTTCTGATGGAGGCTATTTTTAATTTAATAAAGCCTTTGATGATTTTTTTCACAATACTTTTTGACTCATCATCTTATGTCCCTTCCTAGGACCTATTATATCCTCTTTCATTTTGTCCATATTAAACATTCAAGTAATATTTTGAGTATTTAAAACAAAAACGTGAAAATTCTTATCCTCAATATCTAGTCTTGCAAAATCTGCTATTTCTGTGGTGAGATGTAGAAATACATAATTTCCTTTGTATCTGTATTCAACGACATATGGAATTTGATTTTTCTTTTAAAAAATACAATGCTGAGCTTTTATCTACATTACGCCTTTTCTGATATAAAATTCACCTGGATGTCCCAATTCTCAAGTCATTGCCATCAAGTGTCAATTCATAAAACAGAGTAGAACCATGTCTAAAATGTTTATGATATTAAAAATATCTCTTTAAAAAGATGTTAGCTCAAATCTGTTGTCATAATCAAACATTTCACTCTACTTATTTTCATCTGTTAGTGAGATACAGGAAAATCACAAAAGTTTTATCTACCAGCTTTTACCTCAAATATTTTATAGCTCTACTATTCATGTCCCAGAAGTCTTAGATAAAGGTAGGTAGTTTCTTACTCAACCAAAGCCATGTTACAGTCTTAGGAAATAACAAATGGCAATGGGGTTCAGAATAGGAATGCTTCTAGTGATATGCCACCTAAGGTTGACTTACGAACTCTTCTCTTTAAAATTTGAGTGTACGATGAATTTGGAATGAACCATTTCTCAAGTTCAATGTGCAATGTCCTAGGATTCTTTAGAGGTTCTTGGTGCCACATATGCCAAAACGCTATGAAAATTAAGATAGAAACAGGCAAAGAGGAATCCTCCCAGGGAATCACCTGTGCACTCTGATCCTTGTTTTCTTTATCTTCTTTGCTTTTGTCGTTCACCTTTGTTTCTTCCTCAGCCAACTGTTTCCTTCGTTTCTCCCGCCTTTCTTCCAGCTCTTCATCCCTCAGGAATTCCAGGTGATTGACAATGGGCACTTTAACAACTACAACAAAGAGGCAAAGATAAGAATGGTAGAGTGAGGGAAAAAGCCAAGAATCACATAGCTATGGCCACAGGCAACCAGGGATACACCACTAACCCTTCCAAGGCCTAGAAGCTAACCTCCCTAATAATTAACACACACCTGAAACACAATCGTGCATGCTCTCAGCATCAAGAACTTTGCATTCCTCTGTCCAGCGGGTCAGGGCTGTGGGTATACTGGAGAGAGTTCCTGTAGAGGAATAAAGGAGAATAAGATCCTTGGCCTTGTCAGGTGTCAATTGATCCACAAACTGGCATTTTCTTAACCCAGAATAATGTGTATCATAAAGTTTGGCTCTAATAGGCACCAAGAGACCCTTGGCCAGTCATTGAGTGACTCTCATTTTTATTTAAACAAGTTTCTCCAAGACAGATATTGTTCTGCTTTCCCTAGGAGGGAAAATGAGAATTTGACTATTTCTACTCTATACAAACTTGCCTGCTTGGCTGGTAGCTGTGCTCTGGTCATGAAAAAAGTCATCCAGTAGTTCATCATCAGATCGGGCAATAATATGAACGTCATCATTGCCTACCAGGAGGCGGGCTCGGCCCCGGCTTTGTAGAGGGAGGCTGCTGCTCAGCTGAAGGATGTCAGCAGCAGCTGATGGGCCCAGCAACCTACACAGTGGTGGTGGGGTAACAATCACCATTAAGTCTATAGAGCTTTTACAACCTGTTACCACAAGAACATCGTTTGATATTAATCACAATTACATATATTTTACATAATTGTATTAAATATAAAACTATTGTGAATTCTATTGCACTACAGATAATGAGTTACCTTTTCTGATTTTCTCAGAGAATTTTGTTTGGTCAGTGTTTTTGCATTATTCCATAGGTCTGGGCTTGGTGTGTCATTGATACGCCACACACTATTCTAGTGTATGCCTCTCTTGTATCCCCCACTGTAGTTAATACTCTGGCCATTTGCTGTTTCAGTGCTGTGAAGTTGGCTCCCGACTCATGGTGACCTCATGCACAATGGAATAAAATGCTCCCCGATGCTGTGCCATCCCCATGATTGTTTGTGGGTTGACTACTGTTACCCAAAGGGTTTTTACTGGCTGATTTCCTGAAATAGATCACAAAGCCTTTCTTTTTACCTTTATCTTAGTCTGGAAGATCCTCTGAAACATGTCCAGCATCATAACAACATGCAAGCCTCCACTGACAGATGGATGGTGGCTGTGCATGAGCTGTATTATTTAGGAATCAAAGCCAGGCTTCCTGCAAGAATTCTAACACTAAACTACACTGACAATTAAAATAGCACCTATAACCCCCCTTCCTTTCACTTCTTAAAATTGTTTCTCCCACTGAACTCTAAGGCCTCAAATGCTTAATCCACGAGACTCTCAGGCAAAAGAACTTGCCAATTAATTTGTTATTCCGCAAAAGGCTGCACATATAATCCACAACAAATGGGATAAATACCTTGTTTGTGTACGACAGACATTAAGTGGTTGATAAATTATTTCTTCCAAAGTTAAGATGATGATTAAGCCAGGTGAATATCATATTCCAATAGGTCTTCTAGGTAACTTACCTCTGAAGTATAAGAGGCGGGTTGGGCTGGCGATTCCCTGGGTAGTGAACATGAATCGTGTGGCCTGTATTGGCTGTCAGCTGCCTTAAGGTCCTCTGGCTGCGCCCAATGCCCTGGGTCAGACGAGTAGTAGAAGAGCCACTGCCCAGAGTCAGGGAACTGTGGTCTGCATGTCGTACCATTAGTGGGTGAGTGGTAGGGATATTTCCTGGGGATGGGGGGATGTCTGCTGCAAGGGCAAAATGCAAAGGGTCAGTGTCAAAAAGAAATTTCTTCCATGGCTGTTCAAGTAGAACCATGTCTCCTGGGCCTTACTTCCTCACACGGAAACCTGAGCTTTGTCCTTTCTCCCTCATTCCCATATTCTCCCACATCTCGATGCCACCATCTCTCACCTAGACATTACAATAGCCTCCTACGTAGTATCTAATCCATTTTCCACAGTACAGTCACAGTAATGCTTCCAGGTTCCTCAGAAACATGAACTCCCTCCACCTTTGAAGGCTCTTCTCGCCATTTTAAGACTATGTCACTTCCTGTGTGGAGCCTTTGCAATTGGATTATATGACCCTGTACGCCGCTTTCTTACCATACAGCAATGGAATGCCTGCTTACTTATAATTCCCAATAGACAATAAAGCTATGAGAGCTAATGACTTTTTTCTTTTGTTTATTGTGGTATCCCTAGTTACCTAAGACACAATAGGCACTCCTCAAATACTGTATATATTCGTGTGTAAGCTGAGTTTTTCAACACATTTTTTACTGCAGCTTTTGTGGTAAAATTAGGTGCTTTGGCTGATAGTTGGGTTGGCTTATACTCGAATATATACAGTGTATGTTCAACTTGCTGAACAGATAAATTCTCAATTAAAAGGAAGGTCGATGGTAATCAGAACTAGTAAAGAGAACCACAGAATAGAAGGCATCTTGGAAATCATCTAACTTAATCCCAGATACTACCCCACACCTGCCATTTTGAAAATTTCATTTACAGGTGACAAACTGAGGCTCAAAGAGGTAAGAGATTACTTGGCCAAGAAAATAGACCAGAATGTGTTTTCTGTTATAACATATTTCTGATTTGGGGTCAAGATAGTCCTTCTCAAGATAGCCTGATTATATAGGAACTTGACAAGCCAACTGAACACCACAGGTGAACTTCGATGTTGATGGTGGAGGTAGGGTAAAAACAATCATCACTTCTTGAAAAGATGCAACCTTGATGAACAGGGTGAATATGCTCAATTCTATTCCCCAATGACAAGTTCAAAGGTGCTCATTCAACCCCTTAAGAGTCAGTACTACAGACATAAGGATTATCAATAGCCTTGTCACTATAGTGTGTACATGAGTGTCTGATACAATTAGCTTTGGTCTCATCATTTTTTCCTTTAAAAAGTCAAGCTAATCAAGTTGTCCAGGCTCTAAAATGGCTGCTTGCTTACCGAGGTGGAGAGAACAAAAGCAACCTCTTATTATTTATTGCTTTAAGTATATACTAAGAGAGATGGATTCAGATATCCCTTGCCCTGGGAAGTCAGCATAGGAACAGAAGTGTATTTATCAGAGTTTCTTTGGATCACTGCTTGACTTACCCTAGAGAAGGGTATAAGAATCAAGAGATAAAACCCAGCTGAACCCCTGTATCTTACTAGCACTGGAGAACATGTTGTCAAACTCAATGATGAGATCATCCTCCCGGTCAAAGCGTTCAAATCGGACCAAGGGAGAAGCGTTCATATCGGGATAATCCTCATCCAATTCCATCTCAGAGCCATCGTCGTCATCATCTTCATCTCCCTCTTCACCTTCATCATCCTCCTTAAGGGGAAAACAGGAGATGGAGAATTGCTGGAGGTAAGGATTTTCTGATGTCTGGCTTCAAGGCCACATTTGTACATGAGGGAGGTGGAGCTAAGGCTAGCAACCCAGATGGTTGATTTTCTCCAGCTGTGTTCCCAAGGAAGTGGTTGTCTGAACCAACACAAACAAAGTCCCCCCCTCACCTGATCATCCTCCTCATCTTCCTCCTCCTCCTCCTCTTCATCCTGACTATCATCCTCATCCTCGTTACTGCCACTGCTGTCCTCTTCCTGAGTGTGCTCCTCCTCATCCTCAGGGTCCAGGATATTCATGGAATCTAAAACAAAGGGAGCACATTGGAGGACTATACTGAGGAGCTAAAAATCAGGCTACTGTGCAGGCCAGCAGATTGAATGGGAAGGAGATGGGGTATCTGACTATAGGAGCGGAAGAACCAGATCTGGGTTGACGTATAAACTTAATGAGCCAGCCCAGATTTCCTGAAGGTGCCAATCAATGCATCAACACACTGAGCAGGGTGGCTGATTGTGGAGACTCACTATAGGGCGGTGCTTGAGGATCAATGGTCTAGTACTTGGCCAAGTCTGCTGGTGCCCCTTTGCCTTTCCAGCCCTGGAATCTGAAGCGATGACAGCAGGCGGGTGAGAAGAAAGCGAACCAAGAAAAGAAGTGACAAACTTTGGGCAAGCAGTAGCAATATGTTAATTGAAAAACTGGCTGAGGATTAAGTGGATGGTGTATGTCAGCGCATGCAGACAGATGCTTCCTTATTCTGCACATTTAGCAGCTGCCTCCAGGAAAACCCTAGCATAGTTTCTGTCAGACGTGCAGGGCAAGAAGGGAGGCCTTGCTGGCCTCAGCACTCTCACCTTCTCGGTTGGCCTGCAAGGTGGAAGCTTGGCTGAGGTTGGAAGGAGCTTCATCCATCAGCACGTCCTCTTGTGATTCATCCTCTCCACTTCTGCTCACTGAAGGTTACAGAGCAGAGCCTTCACTGAACAACAGAGGACTTCCCTTTCCAGAATGGGTGCGCCTAAAGTAGCTATGCACTCCTAGTATATATCCACTTTTTTGGATGAGGAAGAAGAAGACCTGGATTTTCTGCTATCAACTAGCTAAGTGAGCTTGGCCAGTCACTTTACCTATCTGAGTCTCAGTTTCCTCATCTGTAAAATGGGATGATCACATATTTGGTGTAAAAGGCTTTGTGATATTTAAGAATACTCGTCTACTTCTATTTATCCATTAATTTACATGACTGATACAATAAAAACAAGTAACACACACATCCTTAGAGCCAGGTGACAGGGTAACCAACCACTATTTTCCCGATGAGGTATGAAAAGGGCAACCCAAGGCAACAATCAATCACTCTTTTTACACACTACTGAGAAAAGGAGAAAAGTCTCTAGATTTCATCAAAGAACTGAAAGGCAATGGTCTCTCACCCTAGGCTTATAGGAGTAAACACTCTTTCAATGTGCCTGATGTATCATCTATACTGGTGGTCACCACCCTCCCAACCCCAAACATACTGGCAACACTTCAGATCTGTCAGAGGCCTGCAGATGGTTTGTGAATTTCTCCTCTGACCGTCAACATTAAGATAAGCAGCAATCTAGGCTGGCTATGAGCCCTTAGGCAGAGCTGAGCAAGCAGATGATGAGAAAAAGGGTCCTCCCAAGAGAGACTGAGGCAAAGGAAGAGGCTATACTCAGTTCTGGGGCTCTCACCTATAATTGTACTGTTCCCAGATCCGCCATCCCTCTCAAGCAACTCATCTATCAGGTCCTCCAGCTCATTCTCAACCTGGAGAGAAATAGAACATACATATGGATGCACACAAGTCTATCATTGTGCTAGCACTGAAAATCTAAAAATGCCAGCAAAGGAGCATGATTTCTAGGACATGTGTGACAGTGGTTATTAAATTAAAACCACACACTTGGTGCTAATAGCAAGAAACTACAACACACTACCAATTCATACTCAAAACTCCTTTCAAATGGGTTTATCTCAACTGTTTGCTATCAGTTTAGTCTTTATACTATCCAGGAATACATGCTAATCAATTTTAGAGCCAGCAGCTTAGGACTGTTGGCCCAATCTTACTCATTACTACAACAAGCTTCAGCAATTACAGTTCTTCTTTTAGAGTCTTTGTAAGAGTGCCATTTAATGCTCCACCGAGAACTGGTACTATAAGACACAAGGTGATGTTAAGGAGCTTTCATTAATAACCAGCATAAATCCAAGATCCCAGTGCTGAATGGCCTCAGGCTAGGCCTCTACTTCAACATTTCACCTGGGCTTAAATATTCTTGTACCCTATCTGCAACATTCCTACCCACATTTAATTCAATTCAAGCATTTACTGAGCACCTAACTCAAGCATTATCATCTGCACTTCTCTGCAAGGAAGAAAGCATATTGAGGCAAAGCTCTGAACTACTCACCCACCCACAACTACCTGGGGGTTCAGTTCAGTGCCGTAATAGGGGGTACACTGGATGATCTGCCTCCCTACCTGCATCTCTTGTGAACTGAACACCTCAGGCTGCCCAGCAATCACCACTGAGTCGGTTTCAGCCTCCCCATCCATGATATCCCCATCTGCCACCTCTGTCTGAGTGACATCATGATCCTCCTCCTGCACTTCTGTTTCCCCAGGCTCGCCTGAAACAATCAATCAACCAGCAAAATAATCAAAAGTTGTTTAAGTGCTAAAAACCATGAGGCAAGCATGAAAACAGTAAGCTATCAGAGAATGAATGGGTGACAAAGGAAAAGACAAGGCTACGTGTGAGGATAGCCAAATAAGGCTACAATTTTAATGAATTATTTGTGGGGCAGATTCCCACACTACTATGACATATCTCTGGAAGGCCAGCAAGTTCCCAGGGAAACAATACAAAGTTAGAACAGTTGTTTGTGATCCGATATCC